CCACCTTCCCAGCCCCTGTTGAACAATTCTTAATGTATCTACTGGTCATTCTTACTTGTTCTTCTGTGAAGTCTCTCTTTAAGTCTTTAGCCCATTTATTAATTAAGTTGTTGTTTCGTTGAGAGTTTATTTGCAGGAGGTTAATTTTTTTTTTTCTCTGTCAGTTGTAAGGCTTGATCTCTGGGTCTGGGTGCTGTCTCTGCACTCTTCAGCTCAAGGCAAGCATTCTATCACTTGAGCCACAGTGCCATTTCCAGTTTTCTGGTGGTTAATTGGAGATAAAAGTCTCACAGACTTTCCATGATCCTTAGATCTCAGCCTCCTGCGTACCTAGGATTACAGGTGTGAGCCAGCAGCACCCAGTTGGGAGGTTAATTTTTTAAGCTCTAAGTATATGTTAGATATGAGGCCTTTGTCTAATGCATAGGTAGTATCTATTTATCTCCCTAGCTATGTCCTTTGCCGTGCAGAAACTCTTCAGTTTGATACAATTCCATTTATCCAGTCTTTCTTTGATTTGTTGTGATTCTGGATCTTTACTTAGGAAGTTTTGATCTGTGCCTAGAAGCCCTAGTGTTTTCTCTACCCTTTCCTGTAATATTTTCATGGTATCTGGCCTTACATTGAGGTCTGACCCAGCAACTCCTGGGCATTTATCCAATAGAACACAAACAAGGCCACACTAAAGCTACCAGCACAACCATTTTCATTACAACATTGTTTACTCTAGTCAAGCTATGAAATCAACCCAGATGCTCTTCAGGGGATGAATGGATCAAGAAAATATGGTATGTATACACAATGGAATTCTATGCTCCCATAAGAAAGAATGATATTGCATCATTCATAAGAAAATGGAAAGACCTAGAAAAAATTTTATTAAGCGAAGTAAGCCAGACCCAAAGAAACATAGGTTGCATGGTTTACCTCATTTTATTAATTAGAATGTGTCCACAAATCTAAGTAAACACAATGGATGGTAAAAGACAAAAATTTACACTTAGCCATGACAAACACTCCCACAGTGAGACAAAAAAAAAATATTCTTCAAAGTGGATCACAAAGGCTCAATAGCTATATGCATATGCTCATATAAAATGATATTTATTGAAATGAACTCCAAGAAAGGGAAAGAAGAGACTTCTTATTTTGCTTTTTGTTTTCTTTTCTCCTTTGTCACTGTTTTTTGTTTCTGTACCTTTTGCCTTGTATATAAGTTTGTCTGTTGTGGGAAGGTAAGGAGGAGCATAGAAACGTGGGACAAAGAGTGAACAAATGTAGCAGTAACGCACATCAGATACTATGTTGAAATGAACTATACAACTTGTCCATGAGAAGGGTTGGGAGGGAGAAAATAGAAGTGACACTATTCAAGAAGGAATGTACTCATAACCTGACTTATATAACTAACCTTTACAATAAAATAAAAAGAAAAATTACTACAACCAATAATAATAATAATAGAAAGTTGAAACATTAGTTTTGGTTTGCTTTGTTTTATGGTAGAGAGCTACCCAGTAGCAAAAAAAAAAAAAAAAAAAGGCCAAGCAAGGGCATGAGGCCTTAAGTTCAAGCCCCAGTATCAGAGAGAGAGAAGAAAAAGTACTTTGGAGAGAAGGTATTTTAAAACAGCCTAGATGCCTACAATCTTGTTTACTAGCTTGCTCTAGGTAGTTTAAGGAAGAGACCTGCTATATCTTATATTGTACACAGATGACATCCATATATCAGCACATTGGACATGTGGGCTGTCTTCACATGGTATCTGAGGGGAAAAGGTATGGCTGAAGTTGCAGGTGATATAGAAGGAAGCATGTATGACAACAGAATCTTTGCTTTCTCTTTTGAGTAAGATCTCTAGCTCTGTGATGTGTTATCCCTGTGACCTTGGGGAACATACTTAAGCCTCAATTTCTTTGGAGATCACAAGGATCTGTTTTTCACCTTCTTTATTGCTCTGGCAATGCTCTGTCTGGCTTCTCATATTTATCTTGGGCTTTGAGAGTGCCATTGGGGTCCTTCTGCCCAGTAGGTCTCTGCTGACAATCCTTGTGAGAACAAGACTGGGGGTGGAAGGATGCATAAAGGATACATTTGTTCTAAGAGGACTTATTTTTCCTTATTATAGGGGCCTACAGTACCCTACAGTCCTATGAAACTGTGTTATAATTTTCATTCTTATCCCCTCAAACAGTTAAGACAACTGCTATTTAATAATTATCTCTAATGAAGCTCAGAGAGGGCGGCTTCCAGTGCCTAGCACAACCTAACATAAGGCATGGGATTATTAAATGGACAACTATGAGCCTTATGTTCATGTTTGTTTGTTTGCATGTTGGTACAAGGGTTTAAACTCAGGGCCCTGTACACTTGCTTGGCTATTTCACTAACAGCTAGTACTCTACCATTTGGGTCATACCTCCAGTCTAGCTTTTTTGCTGGCTCACTGGAGATGGAGTCTCTCAGACTTTTTTCTGCCCAAGATGACTTTGAACAGTACCTACAGTCATGTGGGTATAAGATTTCAACCTTATACATTTTGTTAGGTTCTGTCCTTCAACCCAGAACACATCTTTTCAAATTTGTCAATGTTGACGTGGCCTGCAGAGCCTCCAGTGAATGAAGCTGGAGGAAGGCGGCCTCCAGGTGGGCCCACTGTGCATTGTGAGCTTGGTGTACCCATCAGTCCTCCCTACAACCTTGTGCTTTGAAGTTTAGACTGCCTTTTTTCCATGAACAATTCAACTTCATGCTGTAGTTTTCTTAAAGTGCTAGAGATTGTTTTCACACATGCTCTACCAACGAGCTACATCTCTAACGCCATTCAACTTTTAAGTACCAGATGTCTTGGAAAAGCCTTGGGAATAGTTTAGTGAGAGATGACCAAAGGCTGCAAAAATACTGACCTTAGGGTAGAAAGCCATATTATAAAGTCACATTACATAGTAGTTAATAAGGGAATGCTGACCTGTTCTACCACCCTATAACTCATTTCAACTAATGTAACTGCAATTCAATTAATGTAATTCAATAATGCAATTTTTAGTGGGATGCATTCCATTTGAAGAAATATGTATTAAGTTAGGAACTAAGGGAAGTGAATTTTTTTCCACTGAAAATAAGAAATTTCACAGTTTACCTTCTATGATAGGATAAGTCTATATATTTGCTCTTCAATAGGCTAATTTTTAATAAGTTTTTTATTGTGAAAATACCATACAGAGGGGTTACAATTACATGAGCAAGGTACTGAGTACCTTTCTTATCAAGCACAGTTGCCTCCTCCTTTGTTTTTCCCCTACTATCCCTGCCCTTCCATCTCCATGACTACACTCCCCCACTCAATAGACTAATTTTTAATATAATGCCTTTCCTTTCTTCTTCCTCCCTTCCCTTCTCTCCCTTTCCCTTCCATTTCCTTTCATTCCATTTTAGTAGTATGGGACTTGAGTTCAGGGTCTTGCACTTACTAGACAGAGCTCGACCACTTGAGCCACACCCTAATCCCTTTTTGTTTTAGATTATTTTTTGGATAGGACCAGTCTGCACTTTCCCCTCAGTTTTCAATGATGATCACACATAATGAGTGTGATAAAAATGTTGATGCCTATCAAGTGCCCTGCTTTTTCCTTACTAGTAGAATTCTGACTTTACTTGGGTTTCCAACATAACCAGACCATTTCTCCAAGGTTGTCTGATCAGATGCTTTGCCCGACCAAGGGAGAACCAAATGACCAACAAAATACAAGGCTGAAATATAGTTTAAGTAAGCACGATCACATTCATTAGCAATATTATGACTCTGTGAAGTAAATATTGTCATTACTTCAATCTACAAATGAGGAAATAACCATTTTGGGTCAAATGAGTTATGTCACCTATAGGTCCTAGATTCAAACCTGTCCCTTCTCTAAAGCCTCTGCTATCACTTCTCTAATACATGCTAGTTCTCTAGGCAAAATCCAGATGCAAAAATGAAGTCTTAACAGCTTTGGTCTAGCACTGTGACTCATGCTTGACTCATTACCGTACTTCGGAGGGAGAGATAGGACTACAGTTTGAGACTAAAAAGCATGAGACCCTATCTGGAAAATAGCTAAAGCAAAAAGGGCTAGAAATATAGCTCAAGTGGTAGAACAGGTACAATTAGTAACATGGGGGTTTATAAAGACTAAAATTCAAAACATTAAAAATATGGTTCAAAAGTCAGTATTTTATACATTAATGGCTATCTCAACCAGGATACAATACCCAACCAAAACATAAACAATCAGATCAATATTTTAGCAATAATAGATTAGTAAGTAACAAATAGTACCTTGCCGAGTTTGGAAGTTGGTATTTTGGTCATTTTTCTTAATACTCATTAACATTCACAATCGGCTCAATATAGCGGAAAGGGGGAAACGAAAATTAGAGTTAATTGCCACTGCTGTTCCATCAGTAATAAAAATGAGACACTCCGAAGTCCATTTTTAACAAGGCTAGCCTTCACTTGTTCTGTATAGAAGAGTTGCAATAGGCCACACTTCAAACGGACCACCATTCTCTCCTAACTCAGTACCTTCTTGGTGGTTAAAAATGCAGTAAGTACTAAATACGGAAAGTTCAACCTGTTCACATGAGGGAAGAGTTAGTAGCTCTCTCAGTCGTCTTTAGTGAAGACTCTTAAACCAAGGTCATGCTTTCCTCAAGACAGACGGGGCAAGTCAGAACCAAGTTCAGCACAGAGACGAGGAATGAACTTCCCCTCCTCCCTCCTCCCCCAACACACACCCTCGTCCTTCCAAGGCTGCACCGAACGCCGCGGCGAGGACTAGCTTCTCCAGACCCTCCAAACCCTGAAGCGGTCCGCAGCATCTCGTAAAAGCTCATCTATTCCTCTTACATGTCTGACCTTTCGGAGGAACCTCTATCTAGGAACATTTAGGTAACCCTTCTGTGGCAAGAGGACGCACGCTTCTTTCCTTCATGATACTGCAACAACCCATCATCCTTACCAAACTAACAGAAACAAGGTAGATGAAGCGCACGCTCCCCGTCGCACCAGGCCGACCTCCGCCTTCCCCATCGCGACTAGAGCTGACCCAGGGCGACGGAGTCCCCGGCTGTGGACAACCAGCCCACCCGCTCCGGCTTCCGGGATCGCTGGAGGCCCCACCCACCGCCTGACGTCAGGCGCCGGCAGGGGCCCGCCCACTTCCCCACGCGCGGACAAGAAAGCCCCGCCCTTTTCGGGAAGCGGTCGGAGAGGACGGCGGCCGCCCGAGCCGAGACGCAGGCGCGGCTAAGATTCATGTGCTTTCGCTTCCGCGGCAAAACCTCCAGACGCCCAGGTGGGGAGGCACGGAGGTGGGCCGGGCAGAAGTTGCTCTGGCCTCTTCGCCAGGACGGGCCAAGGGACGACGACGACGGGTGTGCCACCCACCACGGAGCTCGGCGGGCTCGGGGGCGCCGTCCAGCCGCGCAGCCCGCGCCCCAGCTCACCGCGTCCCGTCGAGTCCACCTGCGCTCCCTGGGCGCGTCCCGTCGCGCTCCGGTGCCGGTCGGGGTGAGGAGCCCCGGGGTGGCGCGCTCGTCGGCCGCTCCCGAGGCCGCTCCGCTCCTGAGGCCGCCCGCGCTCTCCGGGTCCGAAGGGAGCGCGGCTGGCGCGAGGGTGTGGACTACCCTCTGCCCCCGCCCCCTGCTCGGGTGGAGGCCTGGGGCGCTGCCCGAGCCGCTCGACCCTAGCCGAGCCTTAGTCACGGGGTTTTAATCCTGGAGGCCTGCCAATGGAACCGCGGCGGCCTCGAGTAGCCGGGAGACTCGCACCCTCTGCCTCCGGGGAGGGACTGCTTGGCCGGTCGGGAAAACGGTGGCTAGGTTTGGCGGGGTTGGAGGATCGCAGATCCTGTGGGTTAGCTGGGCTAGAACCACGGGGAATTACTGTGCGTCTGTACAACAGGGCTGGTGAGGAAGAAAGGGGATCATTTTTTTTGTGCTTCTTTATTCGACAGCTGTGGGGTCACAAGCAAAATAGGAAATGCTTAATTAAAAAGTAAAGTATACAGTTATGTGCACAATGTTTGCATAGTGTCAAAAGATGCGTATGCCAGGAGAATGTGACATCTGACAATAGACTCTTGTCACAACTACACAAGAAGAAAACATTAAGTGCACCAGAAAATGAGCAGCCTGATTAAAAGTGGACAAAGGTCTCAACAGACACCTCACCGTGTAGATGGACCTATAAAAATGGTCACTAGGAAAACACTTTTTTTCTGGGTCGGTCGTGGGGCTTGAACTCTGGGCCTGGGCGCTGTCCCTGCACTCCAGTTCAAGGCCAGCGCTCTACGGCTTGAGCTACAGCACCACGTCCGGTTTTCTAGTGGTTTATTCCAGCAGGAAAACACAATTTAAAACAAGGAGATACTACATACTTTTTACAATGGTTAAAATCCAAAATACAACAAGTGCTGCTGAGGTTGTGGGGGTGACAACAGTTCTCATCTATTCGTGATGGGAATGCAAAGTGTTAGGGCAACTTTGGAAAAGAGTTGGGCAGTTTTTTTTATTTTTATTTTTATTTTGCACAGGTACTGGAGCTTGAACTTAGGGTCTGGATACTGTCCCTTAGCTTATTTGTTCAAGGTTGACATTGTATCAGTTGAGCCACACCTCCACTTTAGCTTCTTGGTAGTTAATTGGAAATAGTTTCATGAACTTTCCCACCCAGGACTCAGGCTGATTTCAAACTGCAGTTCTCAGGTCTCAGCCTCCTGAATAGCTAAGATTATAGGTGTGAGTCACTGGCAACTGACCCAGTGTGGCAGTTTTTTACAAAGCTAAGTCTTTTTTTTTTTTTTAATTTTATTTTATTTTATTTGAGAACATACTGTACAGAGGGGTTACAATTACATGGGCAGGATAATGCATACATTTCTTACCAAGCATTGCAGCCTCCTCCTTTGTTTACCCTTCACCTCCCTTCCCAGCCTCCCCCCTCCCCCCCACCCAATCATATGGGTGTGCCACCCACCACGGAGCTCGGCGGGCTCCCCCCACATTGTAAAGCTGGTTTTGACATGACATTTTGTACTTCTCATTGTTGCAACAGGTCCACCTGAATCCTTAAACGACTTGTTTGTCCCCATCTCCTCCACATGTTATACTGACATCCAATATAGTGAAAGCAGGGGGAAAGCTAAGTCTTGATGATAACAGCAGTTGCACATTTTGATGTTTACCCAAATATAAATAATGTATTGCTAAAACTTGTATAATATTTATTTTTATTCAGTTAAAAACAGTTTTTAATTTCTCTCAAGACTTCATCTTTGACTCATTTGTGTGTTATTTGTAGCATATATTGATTGTTCAAGTGGGGTTTTATTTTGAAATTTTCACACATGTAAATAATGGATCGTGATCAGCCTCACCCTCTCTATCCTTTCCTCTCATTCCCCTTTCCCAAAACAATTCCAACATATTTTGTTGTTCTGTTTTCATGCATGCAAATGAACTAGTAGACTGTTCTAATTCGCCTGCTTCATTAGCCTCCCCCACCACTGGTACCCCACTCCCCTCATCTGAGCCTGTTTTCGTAACTGTGTATTTGACTTCCAAGTCTAAAAAAGCAAGGTTAAGTCCTTTCGGAGTTTGAGGTAAAATCAGTTTTATGCCTTTCTCTCAGTTTATAGTGATTGTGAGTAATGTTTGGTCTTCCCTGCCTTGCAGCTGCATCATTCCTTTCTTTGGCTTTGCCCTCATATGAGAGCTCAGCCTTCTGCCTGTTCTTTCTGGATCTTCTCTTTGTCTTAAATTTCCCTCTATACCCTCTTGTAATAATGACACTAGTCATTGGATTTAGGCCTACTCCAAATCTAGGATGATCTCAAGATCCTAAATTACACCTGCAAAGCAATGATTTTTCCAAATAAAATAGCTTTCTCTAAACTGAGGATTAGAACTTAGACATAACTTTTTTGAGGGTGCACTTCTATCCACTATAAGGAATAATTTATGTTTAATAGAATTCATGAGTTTTGAGTGGTTCATTTGAGTAGTTTTGACAAATAGATGAGTTGCATAACTATCATTAGAGTCATGATTGAGAGTACCTCCAACAACCCAAAGAGTTACCCTTGACTCCTTTTTTGACCAGATGTTGTAGTACATACTGGCCTGAAACTCACTGTGTAGTATAGGCTGGCTTGAACTTTAAATTCTCCTGTCTCTGCCCCTCTGGTAATTGAAATTACAGGCATGCCGCACAACAACTGGCATTTCCCATCAATTTTGTAGTCAGTCTCTCAATGACCTCTAGTCATTGATAATCATGTATCTGTTAGTATAGTTTTTTCCCCTCATGGTGCCCTGTAAGTAGAATACATACATATATGATATGTCAACTGTATCTGGCTTCTTTGGCTTAGCACAGTGCTTCTGAGAATTCATCCATGTTATATCTATTAGTGGAATAAATAGGTTTGAAAATTTTTAAATATAAAATATGGTTGCAGGAAGGGCACAGTGGTGCACAACTATGGCCATTTTGCCGTTTTTGACTCACCTTCCTCCTATTCTGTGTATACCTGCACAGATTTTGTTAAATCCTTGCCTTATTCACCTCACTTCTGTGATGACAATATTCTGGTAGTGAACTTTTGTAAGTTACCATAAAGCTAGTCAGTGCAGCTCAAAGTCTGAATCATCCAAGTGCGCTCTCTTGTACAAGTGGAAATCCGAGTATATTCTCATGTACAAGTGTTGAAAAAGAAGAACCAAAACCAAAAGCATCGCTATTAGGACATGCATTAGCCTGCTTAGTAATTGTACCAGCATTATTGATTCTCTTTTCCCAGGCAAATTGAGATTTATTAGCAATGTCAAGTAATTTTGGCCTATTATAATGAATATTTTGGACAATACAAGCTTTTATTGGAAATCTAGGAAGAATGTTATTTTTTGGTTTAGCAAGATACCAAGCTGGTTAAGTTCAAATTAGAAATTCCAGTATGCATTCTGTGGACTGTGTTTCTTAAAGCCTTTGCTGTGCTGTTCTGATCTGTGTGTACCCAGTGGTCTTTTAGTTCTCAATGTCTTCATCATGCTGGTTAGATATATATGTATGAGGCTCAAATGAACCCCCAAATTCACACAACGGTTTTATGGTGCTGCTTACTGTGCTCATTTCTCTCTGTGTGATCTCCTTAGTACTTTCTGGCTCCATGAGACTTTTATTCCTACTCTGCATACAGAAAGCTGAAACTTTAGTTGCCCACTCTGCTGCATGCTTCTTCAAGTGAAACCCTTTCTAGAGCCAAAAGATGGGAGGAAAGAGAGAAAAAGAAACAAGAAGACTGTCCTCGTGGGACTACAGTATTCCTGTTTGGATGAGGAGGTTTTACTTCATCAGTGTTTTGGCTTTGTAGGTTTTATTTGCTGCCACAGTGGGATTTCCTACAGACTGGTTTGTGACAGAAAAGAAAGAAATATTAGGGACAATACAGAATTAAATTCCCACCATTCAAGCCAGAACTAGAATGTGTCTCTGGAGTTTTTCTGTTCTTAATCATGCCTACAGAATTTTGAGCTATAATGAGTTCATGCTTAGGAATACTAGAGTAAAAAGACAAACTTATTGCTAGGATGGTTGTATCTTGAATTCTACTTTTCTTGCCTACTTCCTGCTGATAGTTTTTAGACTCTTGATCGCAGCTCTTACGTATTCTGTCCTGACTTTATAGCTACATTCAGTGGGAGGGGCAGGATGAGTCATGCTTATCCCAGAAACAGAATGTGGACTTTGCTTTTATTTCTATAAAATGAAACAAAACTGAATATCCAGATACTTGTACTTGTGAGTGGTTCCAATCATTGAAGCAATGAACTATTTGATTATTCATTAAGGCAGCAGAGAGAAGTTTTGAGATTATACTTCATATTAAAATTTAATAAAGACAGGGTGAGAAAAATTATAAGCTAACCCAATTCATTAACACCAGTATATAACATTTAATACAATAGAATTTATTAGGATGTAAAAAAGTAACATTAGATGACCAAAGTAACTTTTCTGGGCTTTGTTTAAAGTTTAAAAATCAGTAAAGCAGTCAACAGAATTTACTGTATTAACTGATG